CCAACTCACTTCTTAAGGCAGCTCATCATCATGGATCTCAGATTCCTCATGTTTTCAGCTTTGACATTGTGTAATTTGTTTTGCATGTTATTCCAGCACTAGTTAAATGAAATGGACACTTTCCCTTCTCTTATATGAATAAATTTAGTCTGTTATTACTTCTTTAAATACTAGATTTTATTCTAGTGTTTTGTACACTCTTGTTCTTCATATTTTTGTATTTCTTACTTAGGTTTTATAGTCTAACTCACTCATTGTAAATAGATATAAGCAACCGATATTTTACTTTGTCTTGTAATAGAGCCCAGCACAAGCAAAGACTTCCAATACTTGTTAATTTATTTTAATTTTTCTTTTATTTCTCCTTTATATTGTAGTTAAGGCTTTGTACTAAAAGTCATGTGGCCCAGAAAACTTCTCAATCCCAGGTGAATGAGCATTCGTGGTCATCCTAAATGAAGTGGGGTTTTGCTCCCTGAAATCATGTAGATAGTTTATGTTATCCATGTGTTTAGTTTTACGATGGTGAAGAGAGTGTTACAAAATATGTTGTTGTAAGAAAAGGGAATTTAAAAAATATATAAAAAGAAAAGGGAATTAAGTCTGATGGGGTGGAGAACCATTGCTCTAGAGAAAGACCTGACTCATGTTGAGTTTTAAGAGTAGGCTCTGTTTGCACAAGCTTTCCAAAAGGAGGAACACCCAGGGCTGAGCCCCAACCCTTCCTGCATAGATAAGATTTGCATCTGTGAAGCTGGGCAAGTGTTTTGGGGTGGGCATTTGACATCTGTATCCTCCCTTACCATTGACAGCCTCCAGCACACATGTCAAAAGGAATGTACTAAATTTTTCCTCCCAAATGAGAAGTTTGTGTTTGCTCTTCTTTCATCCTCTTTTGACACTTCTATCCTCATGGTCCCTAAATCCTCATATTGAAAACTTTTCCCTAGTGTAGAAGGAAGACGTGTAGGTTCTGGCTTCAGTCAGACTTTGATTCTGTTCTCTGTTCCAACCTAATCATTCTGTGTCTAAGCTTTCTTCACTGCAAATGAGGATGATAATATATTTGCCTCATCTTCTTAATGTGAGAAGTAAATATAGGAAGTAGATTAATGTCACCCATTCTTAGCAAAACACATAGGGATTGTCTAAAAAACTTTGTTTATTACTTTTCCTAGGCCTACCCATCTTTGTCCTTCATAGTAGCACTTTGTGAGTTGTAATTACTTTTGATTTCTTGATCTTCTCTCTCACCTAGGTCACTGTTTTCCTATGGTTTGTAGGAAAGCATTCCTCTCTCTAAGGCAATTTTATTCTTATAAGGCTGTCTGTATTTTAAAATTTATTAACCCTTACCAGAAGATTGTCTATGAAAAAAATTTTTTTTTCCAAGGAACTTATTTAATCTGACTTTTACAGAGCTCCAGAAATCTGCATTCTTAACAAGCCATTGATTAAAAGTATAGTTTGGGGAAGAGGAAAAAAAAATATATATATATATTTTGTTTGTTTGTTTAGTATTTTTATGTGGTGCTGGAGATCAAACCCAATACCTCACACAACTTAGGCAAGGGCTCTACCACTGAGCTACAACCCCAGCCCCCTGGGAAGTAATTTTAATCTTCCTATTGCTGAAAGCTCTGTCATTGTCCCTGATGCCAATCCAATAATGAGGACACGAGGACACGGTTTTGAGAAAAAGAAAAAAGAAGGCATATTGCTTTGCTAGCAAAGGAGAAACACAGAGGGCTCTTATTCCAAAGGCTGTGATTCTGCCCATCTGCAGGAACAGGGGCTTTTATAGAAGTGATTCAGAAAAAATGAGATTAGGGAAGAGAGATCAGGAAGAAGATCAGGGAAAAGAAGAGATCAGGGAGGAGAAGTGTTGGGGAAAGAAGATTGGAAAAAAGAAAAAAACAGGTAAGCTTCAAAGCCACAAGGGATATAGTTCAAGCATCAAGTGAACCCCTGTTAAATTTCTTTTTTGTCAGACAGATTACATGATACAATAAAATTAAATTAAAAGACATAATTAACTGGGTGCTTTGGCACACATCTAATTCCGGTAGGTCAGGAGGCTGAGGCAAGAGGATCACAAGTTCAAAGCCAGTTTCAGCAACTTAGCAAGGCCCTAAGTAACTTGGCAAGACCCTGTCTCAAAATAAGAAATAAAAAGAGCTGGGGAGGGATGGGGCTGTGGCTCAGTGGTACAGCATTTTGCCTAGCACGTATGAGGCACTAGGTTTGATCCTCAGCACCACATAAATAAATAAAGGTATTGTGTCCATCTACAACTAAAACAATATATTCTTATAAAAGGGCTGTGGATGTGGCTCAGTGGTTAAGCTCCCCTGTGTTCAATCCCTGGTACCAAAAAATAGTGATATAATTAACAAAAATTCTTTATGCAAATTATTAATAGATACCTAAATACAATCTGGTTTGGAAAATGAAATAAAATTAAATCATTTGTATATGGTTGTATTCATAACTTATGCCAAATCAGAAGCTATATAACAACAAGAAACATTAATGGGTCAAGTCCAAGTATAAATGAAGATACTCCTCTGAATTTCCATGTTTCATCAAGCATCAAAACCCACCAATATGGGGCAGTGGCTGTAGCTCAGAGGCAGAGTGCTTGCCTGGCATGTGTGAGGCACTGGGTTTGATCCTTCACGCTGCGTAAAAATAAACAAAGACATGCTGTCCATACACAACTACCAAACATAAATAAATAAATAAATAGAAAACCCACCAATCTTTTAGTTCTTTTCTTGTACATTAGTTTGTATTCACATTTTCTGCTTCTGATTGGATTCCTGGATTTTATTTCATTTTTTGTGTGACATTCTCCATATACATATCACTGGCTGCTGCTTTTGGGGGTTGAATGTCCTTTTGGGTGTTCGCTGTTAGTACTTATACAGCACAGAGACGCTTCTCTGTATGTTTTTTATGAATTTTTTTTTTAATTAGAAGGAAAGGGGAGCACATTTTCCAGTGCTCCCTGTTATGGGTTGAATTATTGTTTTTGCTACATTCCCTTATGTTGAACCCCTAACCTCCAGAATGTGAGAATATTGAGAGTAGGATCTTTAAAATGACCGTGAACACTAAACTAGGTCATTGGGGTGGGCCCTGATTCAATATAACTAGTGTCCTTATAAGAAGAGATTAGAATACCCACATGCACAGAAGGAAGATTGTGTGAAGACAGAGAAGAAAAAGCCATCTGAGCCAAGGATTGAGACCTCGAAAGAACCAACATTGCTGACAACTTGATCTAGGATTTCTAGCCTCTGCAACAGTGAGAAAAAGAATTTCTGTTGTGTAAGCCACCAGGCTGTGGTACTTTGTTATGGAAGCCCTAGAAAATTAATGTACTCCTTTACCCTTGTTATGGATCCTTTGTAGATTTAAGCTTTGAGCTTCTGGGACCAAATTCCAAATAACTTTCCTGAATTCCTTGTTCTGCTTTTTCATACTTATGGCAATTCCCAAAACTTAAGTTTATGGGCTCACAATTATGAGCCCATTGTAACTTATGGAATGAATTGAGCATCTACCCATGCATGGAATTTAATCATCATTATTACTTATGGATGATTATCATTACAGATTAGGAAGCTGAAGGTCATAGAGGTTATATATCTTAACTAAAGCAATCACTCATTCAACGATGTTTTTTTAAACATCTATGCCAATTATTTGTATGCCAGGCACTGTGATAGATGCTGCAGAAACGTCAATGTATCGAACTGACTTAGCTCTTGATTTCATAGACCTAAGAGTTTAGTGGGAAAACAGATGTTAAATAATTACAAATAATATAATTATGATAAATAATTGCAAATGTAATAACTTTTGAAGGAGCACAATGTACTAGTAGAAAAGCCAAATCAGTTTAGTTTCATTCAAAAAAATTTACTGAGAGTACATTATATGCCAATTGTTATGCTAAGTGATTGAGAAATGTCAGTGAACATGACAGATATGGAATCTATTCTCAGAGAATTTCCATGTCTAATGAGAAAAGAAGACATCAAACAATTTCCCAACGATAGAGCTATGTAATGAGAACCAGCTTCAAGATTAGGTGAGAGAATTTAGCAACGGCAAATAATTTAGCATCAGGAGTCAAGTTAGAGCATCTAGAGGAATCACCATGCATCCTGAGATCTGGAAAAGCAGGCAGCAGTGAGTAGGCAGAGGTCTTCTCCAGTCAGGCCATCTCCAGTTCAGACAGTGCCTCCTCCATGTGGCTCTCTCTGAAGGCATCTTTTCTTTGCCTGACCATAAACATGTCACTGGGCTCTAAACAGAGAGCCATTTCAACATTGAGTTGTCTGGAATAGGACATGACTTTTTATTAAAAAATTATTTGTTTATTTTAATTAGGTATATGAGACAGCAGAATGCATTTTGATTCATTATACACAATTGCAGCACAACAAAAAGTTGTGCTGGTTATACATGTTCTCTGGTTATACATGACGTAGTGTCATACCATGTGTGCAGTCATACATGTACCTAGGGTAATGATGGGACGTGACTTTTCTCTTAGGGGATAATCCTAGGAGCTTCCCACTTCAGTGGGTGACTTTAAGGTGTCTCTTCTCCCTTACAATTCTGTCCATGGCAAACACTGGGGGATGGCTTCTAAAGTCTTTTTCCTTATTGCCCTCTGCTACAGAAACTGTTTACCAAAATATGTGTCCTGACTTAAATGTCACCAGGGGTTACTAAATGGCTCACCTTCACCTGCCCCCTTCCCCCTGTTGTTTATTTGTAACTACACATATTCCTGTGTGGTTCATTCATTGCCCTACCTCCCTGGTAACAAAAAAACTGGAGATTGAATGATTGCATGTTAGCTTTGAAGGAGTACAGATACTTTCTCTATTCTGTTTCATGTCAGGATGTTCTTGGTTAGAAAGTTCTAGGCATGGCTATAAACTCGAGCTTATGTTCAGGATTGCAGAACCAGCTAACTTTTGAAGTGCCATGATTTAAACACCTGGGGGCTCTCCTGTCCATGCTTCTTGTTGAAACAGGTAAAATGTATTCAGAAGAGTAGTTACTCTCCCAAGTCTGAACACAATAAAAAATGACTCAGATTAATTTAAAAACTTATAGCTAAAGGGAAATAGAAAAGGAAAATGTAAAGTGGCGGGGGGCAGGGGGATGGCAAAAGTACACAAACTGGTTTCAGGTGTTGTCAGATTGTACTTCCTTTGTCAGATATAAGTGAGTGGAAAACAGAGCCTCCTGAAGAAGAGCTTCCCTGAGATAGAAAGTCCCCCTGTCCTGTGTGACTCCCTCCTTCCCAACAGATGGCCTCGAGAGGGGTTTATAAAACAGATTTGACTCAGCAGCAGAATTTCAAAAGCATTCTCTTACTGAAAAAGCCCTTTTATTTGTAAGAATCGTTCCCCTTGGAACACAATCTTAGTGTTTGTAAAATAAAACTAAATGTTTACCTTATTACGGAGTATATTCCCTGTGCCAGAATTTTTGATCTTTGTAAAACCGATCCTCAAAGAGCCAGATTAGTAGACACCTGGACTCAGTAGCTTGTCCTGCATGTCCCCTGCCTAACCAGTTGAATCAGAGAAATTGCAATGACTTGGGTTTATTGGCTTGGACAGAACCTCTCTGTGGGCAGAGAGGAAAATCAGAACAGCCACTTCTCATAGTCATTCACATATATTCCTGGTGGGTACCTGACATGGGCTAATGCTTTGGGTTAAGTCAGTAAAAAATCACTGCTTGATAAAGAGTAGAAAGGGTTCCTTGGTCTCCAGGAAAAGAGAGAGGCTGAAGGCTTCCAGGAGAGAAAAGATTATCATAGATGTACAAATGGCAGCCAGAAAGCTGATCAGTGTTGAGGCAGTTCCAGGGACTGGCTGTTCCTTTTGTTTCTCTCATGGCCAGTAAACTCTCCCTCTTGTCATCTCTCTGTTTTCTTTGTAATGTTCCACTCCCCCCCAATACTCCCTCACCCCCAACCCCTACCCCCACCCCTGCTCCAGTTTTGTTTTTGTTTTTTAATCAATAGGACTACTAATTCTTCAGTTCAAGTGCCAGAGAGAGGTAGTGTAAAGGACTTTGCTCATTGGCATTGCCTTTTGAGTAGAACTCTCTGCCCCAAGACATAGGCATAAGCATGAGCCAAACGATGAACAGACCACTTTGGGCCAGATATCTATCTCTGGTCCACTCAGCAATTGCTTTTGCACAGATACTAGCCCAACCAAAATGACTTCCCTGATCCTGGATGTTATGGATATAGCAATTCGTACTAAAAGTGATTATCTTATAACACAGTCCCTGGGATGTGCATTTAGGCTGAGTCCCAGCACCATCACGTGCCTGATTTCCTTGACCAGTTGACAATCAAATTCCCTTATCTATACACAAAAATCACAATTAAAGCTATCTCATAGGATTGTGGTGAGGCTTTAGTAGGATAAGTGCAGAGGTAAAAGTGCTCTGTAAACTGTTTAATATTATACTAATGATATTGTTATCAAAAGGAATAACCTCCTGAGTCATTCTGAACAGTTCAGCTTCTCGGAAAGGGCATCCATTCATCTAGAAAGGGAACAAGGACAGGATACAATGGGTGGGGGAGTGAGGTGAGCTGGAATCTCCTGTTATCCTGCATTAAGGGACATCCAGAGGTGGCTAGGTGGCTAACCAGGAGTCCTGGTCGCTAGGCTCTCACAAGGCTCTGAGTACTTGGTGTGTGTGTGTGTTTGTGTGTGTAAAACAAGTGACAGAATCGAGGAACCTTTTTCTATTTATTCAGAGCCTTTGCTCCCCTCCATGAGTGCCACCTCCTTCACTACATCTTCAAAATTTTTTAAAGACAAAGAGAAAAGCACACAGGAAGTAAGGAAATGAGAGCCGAAAAGAGAGAAGTGACAATGAATAGGCAGAAGTAATAAGATATTGGGTGTGAGTTCCCAGAAGGGCTGGGCAGTTCAGCCCACAGAATTAAACTCCTGGGGAATTTTGGCTCCTAACTAAACATCCTGCAGCTGCCGGTAAATATCAAGCCCTTTGTATGAAAAGTGGCCCTGACCTTGAGCAAAACTGCATCTGGCAACCCCTGGATCTTCTGACTCACTACAGAGGTAGCCAGTGAGGGTGAAGGCACTGACAAGGTTATATAGCAGCTTTGTTGTTGAGTTTACCAGGTCCTCTTATTTAATAAGGCAGAGAGGGGGAAGCTTGGCTGAACTAATACTTTAAAGCCTCCTGTCCCAAAGCCAAAAATAGGGTCCTGTCTGAATAGGCTCAGGTTGCCCACATTTAGTTTGTCATATAAAAATGAATTAATTAGTGTACAACCAGAGATATGAAAAGTTGTACTCTATATGTGTAATACGAATTGTAATGCATTCTGCTGTCATATATAACAAATTAAAAATTTTAAAAAAGGTTGTACAAGCCATCCAAATAGAAAAAAAATGAATTAATTAAAGTGTCCTGCAGAACTTTGTAGTTTTATCCATAGAAAGTAATTTTCAAAAACATACTGCAAACTGGAATGTCTTGGTCCAGTACAGACCATCTGCTGAATTCTGATGGTCAGGAAGGGCCTATGCAGAGCCATGTGGGATGGGAAGATTAAAAAGGAGGCGAAAAAAGTAGAAGCGAACTTTTGATATGTTCCTTTGAGAAGGATACAGAAAAGCTAAGCAAGGGGAGATAGGAAAGTGGAGAAGCAGATGAATCATTCTCCTCTATATTTGGCTAATTTGCTCATTGGCATTGGCTGATGTGACTGCTGGGATCCTGACTTTCTTCTTCTAGGGCTTTTCATTCTCTGTTAATTAGGACATTGGAAGAATTGTCATGATAATTATAGTGTCTAGACTTGGGAAACTATAGAAGGCAGTAAGAGAATCTTTAATTGCAGAGTTGAGAAGACACATGAAGATGACAGGATTTTGAAAGTCCCTCCAGAGAATAATGCTGTACTGAGCTGAGTTTCTCAGGATTGTCTTGACACCATCTCTTATGCAAAGGGGCATCTTTGTGTTTTGTCTGAACACTTGGAGTTCTCAAAATTCTCATTTCTGCTGGAGGTGATGCTTAGTGCTAGGACGCTTGCTACAGGCCCCGAGTTCAATCCCTAACCCTCTCCCCCATCACTGCCACATAAAATCTTATTTCTTCAAGAAGATTCTAAAGACTGGAGAGAAAACTGTGTTTCAATGCCCTGGTCTTTGTCAGTTTTGCCTTCAGGAAGTATCATTGAAAAGGATGTAGAGACAGGTGCTCTCAGTTTTTAGACTAAAAGATATTAACTGTTTTTTAGAAAAAATAAGGAAAAGTGATTAGGCATGGAAGTCCCCTACCTTGCCAAGTCTAGTCATTATATTTTTCCCTTCCACAATTCCATTTCATGTTTTTTCAGCTGGTTGCTGGAAGAATTGAGCAGAATATTTTCTTATGCAACATCTAGTGAAGCCCTGTCTATTGGTATTTAATCAAATAGGAATCCCTGTTAATCAATATCTCTCCACTTGGAGATGACAAAATGATAGATGTTCATAATGATGCCTGGAGTGTGCAAAGCTATCCCTAATTATCTTTTAATTTTCCCAAATGAAAGTATCATTTGTTTCTGTTGATTATGTGTGTAAAACTAACTACCTTATTGTAAAAATTCAACATTGAAAAATGGAAAAGTTAAAAATCCCTTTGTAAACGGCTCACCTCATAGTTAAGCTCCCAATTATCAAATTTATAGATTAGTATAGATTCCCTGGAAAATATGATGCAAAATATGTTTATACAAATGAGATCATATTATTCATACTGTTACCTTTTTACTTTGTCATAAAGTTCCATTTCAAATAAACTTTGTAATGGTTACATTTTGTTCTATAGTATTGATTCATCATAAATAATTTCTCTAAGCATTCATTAATTATTATTAGGCTACTTCCTATTCTTTGCTATTATATTCAATTCTCCAGTGACATCTTCACAGTGCTCTAATTTTTTAAAATGATAAATTATATTCTTTTAAATTATTGAATACATAGCTTATGTACAATAAATTTAAATCTTTAGAAGTATACAATTTGATAAGTTTTGACAAATGTATCCACCATGCAACTACCACATAGAGCTATGGGAAGTTTCCATTACCTCAAAAAGTGCCCTCATGCCCCTTTGAAGTCAAAATCCATCTCTATTCCTGGCACCAGGTAACATTGCTCTGCTTTCTATTACTATAGGCTAGTTTATATATTCTAGAGTTTTATATATGGAGAATGTACATTTTTTGAGTCTGGCTTCTTTTACTTAGCATAATATTCTTCTCTTT